ATTATTGGAGATACCAAAACAAACACTTATAATTCACTCCACAACAAAATATTGCCAACCACCAACATTGGCACTGATACACTGTGCACGGATGAGATCGACCACTTTAATGATCTTAACACTAATGCTTTAGCTGTGTTTCCGCAAAACTCCACACTGATCGGCAGTCCAACATTTCATATTACATTCCTTTGCTTATACCAACGAAGTGTTTAACTACAGCTGCGGGTGATGGGACTTCCAAACTGCCCTGAACATTTAGCCCTGGCGTTTATTCCAAGTTATTTTCATTTGCCCAAGTTACCCGGGTTATCAATATTTGTATTATCAGACAAAAAAAAATTAAAAATTGTAGCTTGGCAATCAACCATAACTTTATCCAATAATTATAATTCAAAATTGTAACATTAAGTTGTATAGTCAAGACATAACATCAACCACATCGTTAAAACTTCCTATGCTTAACTTTTTTTGTTTTAAACTTTACCTGTTTCTATTGACTTGGAACATATTTGTTGCGGAAACTGAATTCCAATGAATTCTCCACGAGAGAACTCGATTGAAGGAGTTATTGAGCTGGAGAGAGTGAGGGATTGAATTTAAAACAAATACTATCGATGGTTATTTACATTAAAACCTGTTTTCAGTATTGTAATTGAAGGTACGATATTTCAGCTCCATCGCACAGTCACATTTAATAATTCACCGTTCAAAAGAGAAAACAAGTATTACTCAAGTTAGTCAGTAAAAGTGTATGGTTCAAGGATGGGAATTGTTTAGATATTTTTGAATACCATGTATCTACACCTCGCCTATTAGCAGTTGAATATGGAGAACCTAGATATAGAAAGGGCGACCCCATACATTTGGGAGAGATTTGACTTTTAGCTATCTTACGTGTGGTTCATGTAATAATAATAATGTTTGGTCAAAAATCACAAGTAACAAGATTGTCAGTGAATGATAAAATCATTCACACAATGCACTCTGTGACTGCTTGTCAGGATTATGACAATTTATATTTTGATAATACCTGGTTGGGACTATACAGTACAGAAACAGCAATCTCTGGTAGTGTTAACACCTTGTCTGAAAGAGTAGATATTAGAAAGACAACTGACCAAATGATAAGATTTCATCATGTGATAAGATGAAAAATGCAGCATGTGATGTACTTTTTGCATTACAAACCCGAAGACGATCCCTGACAACTATTACCTCAGCACATTTTCAAAGAAAAACAAGATGTGTTTAACGTGAAACAAGTTATAAGCACGTAAAGGCTGTCCAAACCAGGCGTATTCTGATATCCTCTCTAATTTGCGATAAACATCAATGTTGAACTTTCCCAAACTCTATTTCTTAAAAAGTTAAGAATTTACACGAATTAAAGGTGATGATTTCAAAAAGGTCTGCGACCTCGATTGGCTTTAAAACTATTGAACGTCTCCTTCGTACCATTGGTGGTTTTAGCGAGTATTTGCCGTGAAATATACTTTGTGCTGTACATCAGAGCTCAGCAATCCGAACTGGAGCTGTCCTGACACAAGTTGGAGGAGATGATTTTAGGAGCAGTTTTATTCGCCCACTATCAATCAACCATGACGGGAGGGGAGAGCTTGAATGAATCACTGCTGTCTTCACTCCCTGTGGTCCCCGAAGACTGCTAAGACCCTCCCGTGAGTATTTTGTAATGTTATTAGGAGTTGCTATTGGAACCGGTTCTTTAATAATATTTAAATAAAAACGAAAAATCTGCTTCAAAAATCAAGCCACGCTGTGCTGAACGCCTCCACGGGTGTGACATGAAGCAGAGCAGGAAGAATACATTAAGAAAGAATAAATTCAGCCCTTGTGGGACTGAAATGATTCCTCTTTAAAGGAGTCAACACACACACAAGTCCGAATGGCCTTCTTCTGAGCTATAAAGAAATCTAACAGGTTCTACAACTGCTGGAAGTGATTTCACTGAATACTGCAGTGATGAGTTGTACTTTCCGAGTCTCTCTCTTTCCAAACTAAAAGTTTAAAAGAATGTGTTCATCTCCAAGATGTTTAGAGATTCTCTCCCAAGATCTTTCTAATCATACCCTTGAATAATTCTGTTTAAGCGGTGAGTCTCCACCGTATAACTCAGGGATTAACACAGACGAGTTACTGAATTTAGATGGTAAGAGTTTCGTTGCAACATCTGCAATTGTGTTAAATCACTTCCTTCACTCTGGTAAACACAATAACTCAGACAGAGCAGATTCCCGTCATATTGACATCAAAACTCGCCATTCGGATAAAACGTATTTCATCGTAACTACATATTGAAATAATACTAAATCGATGATAATCCCTTGTAACTTTTTTTGGAGGAAATAAAAGGCTTTTTATTGGATCCTGAATTAGCAAGACTCTCTGTAGCAGCTGGAATTATTCTGTACCGGATTGCAGTTGGACTGCGACAACCACTGGAAAAGGTAAAGCCAAACTGGCCAGAAACTGAACTGTATAAAGGAAATTTTTTATCTCATTTTGGAAATTATTTAAAGCAAATTTAGGACCGCTTTATTTTTCCATGGATTCATTTTAGATAATTAACATAATGTCGTATTTTCACCTGCACACGACTTGTAAATTGAGAACTGTGTGAATGCCAATTCTGAACGTTTCCTGTAAACCTCACAGAAATAAACTTTCAGTAGCTATAGCCCCAAATAAATTAGTGTACAACAAACTATATTCATTAGATTGGAGGCTATTTAAAATTGGATTTGTTTAAAAAAATCCTGTTCCACGAGGCTACGGTTGAGATTATATGTATTTATATCAGATCATATTCATGGAAATAACTATTTTAAAACGAATTTCATTGTCGTTTACCTGAGAAAGTATGTTTATTACGGGTGTATTACATCAAAATGTCTTTTTAACATTTGAACATTATACTCCTCAAACATTTTTTGTTGGGACTGTTTTGTTTAATGTCTTTGTGGGGCGGTGAGAGGAGGGAATTGTGAGGCTGTCTGTGAAATCCGGTGCCTCCACATGTGCTTTGTTTATTGTGTTGTGGATTACAGAACTAAAGGGGAGGTGAGGGCTAAAAGCTACACACACACACACCCCCCCCCCCCCCCCCCCCCCCCAGTGACTGCCCCGCAAATCCCACCCACCTCTGTCAAACATCTGAGCCTCTGCATTAATCATTAACTGCTCTGCTTGGGCTCCGTGTACATATTTGCTCAGAATCCGAAATTCCTAACAAATGAAACGTACATCAGAATCTAAAGACCATGGGGTGGGGGAGGGGGGGAGTGGGGGGAGGGGGGAATCATACTATTTTAATCGTGAGCATATTCACACTGTTCGGTGATGTCAATTCCAAGTCTGGATTCAAGTCACATGAACCAGGAAACCGATCTGGAGTTCTGGGCAGCGTTTGTGATGGGAATGGCACATTGTGATGGGAATGGCACATTGTGATGGGAATGGCACATTGTGATGGGAATGGCACATTGCATGAGGAAGGGTTCATTCTTATGTTAGTCTGACTCCCTTTGCGATGCCAATTGGTTGCAAACTTAAAACTTTCCCCCCAATCGAGCACAGTTTTAACGTGAGGCGCACTGACCTCCCGATGAGTTCTAACGAAGTGATAAATACTGTGTTGTTCATAAAATAGAAAGTAAATTTATTTAGGCACATCACAAGCATGTTTAAGATATGGTTAGTATCGATTTACGGTATAGAACAGGAACGAGCGGATTTGTGGAACGAGTGCAAAGATTAGACGGAGTTGTGTTTACAAAAATTTATTAATACAAACTTTACAAAGTGTTCGGATAGACAGTTAATGATCGTTCCCTATTTAAGAGATAGACGCGCACTAAAATTTAGATTTAATTTAATCACCGAGCAACAAGGTGTCCATAATTGCCGTTTCTGTTTAATCCAGATCAATAGTTGTCCAGATGGTCTGTGTAAGGTTTAGTAAGGCATTTGGTGTCCCTAAAGTTCTACAGAAGCTCCCTTGGCTATGCGAACATCAATGAAATATTATAATGTTATTAAAGCGCCGAGAGTAGTTCCAATACAGGGCGAACACTACACGTAGCGCAGCACAAATCAACGACTCTACACAACTTGCACCATAAGCCGCACGATTTGTCAGCTGTAAAAAGCTCAAATTGTTAAGCGGATGTGTTGCAGCAATGTAGGGCTACTTTAAAATAATAAAACCCCACCCCATCCCATCCCTCCCCCCATACACTGTAATTCATGTCCATTTAAATGACGGATCAAGGCACCAAAGCTGTAAGCTGCATCCTGCGTCAAATTGCCTGGAGGAGAATGCAAAATTAAAATAAGATTGATTACATGAACAAGTCTCGGGCGTGGCCCGAATGGCTATGAGCTACTAATGTTTTCACTGGGATACATTTGCAACGTTCGCCTTGTGTGGGATTTACTTATTTATGTCTAGAGACAAATGATAAATAAAAGCAATGAATTGTATATGATCTTTGATTAGTAATCGGGATTAATCGTGGGCATAAAGGTTATTCGTCCATTTAGTTGATGTATTTAAGATTCATAGAACTAATTCTTAGACATCGAGCATTTTGTAAGAGAGCAGGTACTTTTCTGCATATTCATCAGGTGTGCTCTGAAGCTTTCAAACTCACATGCCTACTCTGGTCGGCACATCAAAATATTGTAAATTCCTACTCTCAAATGTGATTAGCTTGATCATGTTATCATATCAACTAGGTAAACGCACATTTTAAGATATTTTATGGCGTTCTTAATTAACACAGTAGCCACATTAGATCCACATTAACAGAAACAATACAAGGTTCATTTTCCTCTCCCTTCCCCCATTAGGTCAACTAAAGTAGTATTTTAACTCCACTATGCAACGAAACCAAACCAGAGATTCGTGATTTGATGTCAGGAAAATCCATTAATTTTCCTTGAAAGCATTTGTACCACACACACACACACATACACACACACACACACACACAAGCTTGAGCAAAACCAAACAGTTCTTTACACATAGATTCGATTGCTCTCAGTACAAGAAAACACTTCAAGTGACAGGGTATGGGGTTAAATGCTGAAACATGGTCATTGTTCCAAACTCCTTCCCTCGCTTTGCTTTGCCCTATTTGGTGAACAGAATAACCAAGTTCTAACATAACCAGCACACAGTCCACAAGCCAAAGGGCCTCCTTCACTGACAGCTGTAACTTACATCCACTGTTACCTTGTGCTGTGGTGACTGGACGCACGTGATCTTAAGAGGTTACATCAAAATTGATCGGCATAAAATGTTAAGAGCTTTAGTTCTGAGGCCATCTCCCCCCCTCCCCCTCCCCCTCGATTAAATTTGTCTCGTGTGAAAACAGCCTCTACCGTAACTCACCGACAAGAGGATCTGCTGCAGCAATCCTCCCAAATCACTATCACAATCCCCTTCAAGCAGCCTAAGCAGGGCATCAATGTCTATGTCGTCGATAATTTGGGCAATATTAATATCTTCATGGCTGTTGTGGATGAAAAACACTATTCTTTTAATTTTAGTTTTAATACAGTATATGCATACACAAACAATATCCCAACACGCCATCACCGATCACAGTTGCCTATTACGTGTGTATAAAACCAGCAGCTCAGACGGATATTGTTCTTGTGCACGCTTTATATGAATCGTTCTGTATATATATATATATAACCCCAAAATGAATCGTCCAAAGTAAATCTGTGCATTCTAATAGTGCTTTACAAAAAACAATATTTTTATCAAAATATTCGTTTTTAATGGCTTTACTTCATACATAAATACATGTTTAAATAACTGAGGAGCGATGATTATTCAGTCGATTGAAACGAATCTCGGACAGGGCTGTATACACAAGGCGGCTGCTCACTCATCGCTACAAATAGAATACTCGACGTCCTTTATTTTTAACCCTTTGTTTATACCTTTTCCCCAGGACGGCTGCCAGGTATTTCTTGACAGCCATCTGTTTCCTGTAACGGCTGTAGCTATCGGTGAAGATGCCATCGGAATGTCTCTTAGACAGAGGTTCTGTGTCCGTCTCCACACTGCTGCCACTGCAAATTGGATAACAGCAAAATTCGGAACTGCGAGACCTTTCCACATCGCATACAACTCTCTTTCCTCTCTCTCCACACACGGAACACATTCGGCGGTAAGCTCAGGCTATCACTTCCATATTCATCAAATAACCCCGTCTCAAGAACGTGCACATTGACACCAATCCAGTGGACAAAGAAGGTTTACTGATCCTCTATTAAATGATTAATTATTAATCATTTCCCTTTAAGGGGACTCCTACCACTTGCTCGTTTCACTGCAATGCACAACAAGAGAGAAGTGTGTTGTGTTGACTAGTCCGTGATGCACCGGATGTTTACGTTCTGGGTATACGCAACTAGTTCTATAAAACATAAATAACCGAATTCCCTGCAGGGTTTCCATTTGTGGCCACAGCAGATTGCAAAAGCAGGAAATGGAGTGGAGTGAGGAGGGGCATCATTAAATTAATGAAGTTCGACATATCCAACACAAATAGGAAAGAAATGTTGGTGTTGCAATTTATTTTTAAAAATGTCACGATTATCAGACTTACCCAAAGCGTTTCGAGTGGATCAAGGACTGAACGACTGTTCTTGTCCGTATCTGCCCCAACACTCTCCTTAAGGCTTTATTTAATATTCCATCCGCATGTCTTTCTGTTCTGAGATACAGAGACCGAGTGCAAAGAGAGCATCAGTGATCCTCGTTATTCAAAATTAGTTATCGAAAGAAAAATCTTTTTTTTAATTAAAATAGAACTTTAAGGTCAAGATTTAAGTTAAACCCCAAATATTAGTTTCTGAAAGGAAGGCTCTTGCAAATGCCTCTCCCCTCGTTTAATTGGTATTGCACAGCTCGCTTTATGCGCAGGGGTTGCGTGTTAATGATTACATTGATTTATCTCATCAATTCATGCCACTTAAAAAGAAATCCGCGTTATTCCGCGGATCCCACCATCATGTAAACAATCGGCACGATTTATTTGCCAGTCTGTGGCTTTCACTGGTCACGTTATTGAGAAATGAAGAAATATTTGACGAAGCAAAGAAAGAAATCGTACGCGTTAGCTTTCCCACGAAAATAAAATAGCTGCTTTCCCAGTCATATAAAATAGCTGATTTCCCACCAAAATAAAATAGTCACCTCTTCTCCGGAGGGTAATATAACGCGTTCACATCATCAATCATCGAAGAAGGGATTCGAATCCCATTCCCGTCAGTTTCGTAATCCGGTAGAGAGTTTCCCTTCTCGTCGTACGCTTCATCTTCAATCCTGGGAAGAAATAAAAGATTATGATCTGCGCACACCAGTTGGTAAAGCAATAAACCGATATTGAAGTGGTTTATGATGGGACATTAAATTTGTTTTTCTTTTGTTCTACGGTTGCGATTTATTTGTTTTCCAAAACTGGAAATGTGCTCTGCTGGAATATTGAGATTAAGGCATTAATGTAGGAGTCTATCGAGACCCATATCCACCTCGTGCATCGGACGTGAGGAAACTATCAAGTGCTGCCCAACTTGTTCCTGACGTTTTTCATTCCCATAAGTAATTCATATCCCTTTAAATCGAATTCTACCAAAGCTCCGGGAATCTCACTGGTCGGCAGTATGCGCTCTGCTCTATCCTCATGGGAGTGTGTGTGGGGAGAGCGCTAACATCCAGAATGGCACAGGGACAGGTTCCAGTTGGGTATCCGAGGGGACACATTTCAACAGAGAACGGTATTTGCGCTTTGGGATGCTGTTGGCCAAGTCACGATAATAAAAACAAAAATCCTGTATTTAGCTGAGTTTTTTCTTTAAAAAAAAGGCAGTGAATTTGGCAAATAACTTTTTTTTGCCAATTTCAACCGACGATACTGTTGGCAACGCCCTGACTTTTGACTTGAACAGACAAAGTCTGGAAGCTGCTTACCCACGATTATGTGCTTGGGAAATGAGACTGAGCAGGAACAGGATGATATGCAGTGATGGAGGGGCAGGGGAGTAAGACAGAAAGTCTATCCTAACAATACCCATCGAGAGGGCAGATTAAACACCAGACACCAGCAATCAAAACCCTTTGACATCGATTCTGGCCACGTTCATTTTCACACACGAGACATGAAATAAAACTGACCATTTTTATTAAAAAAAAACGAAACCCCATTTTCGAGTCCTTTCTTGTGCTATTTTCCAGTAAACAAACCAAACAAAAGGCGTTTTGTGATCAATATGCAATTTCACTGCAACCGAAAATGAGTTTAAATTATCCAAAAGAAACCTTGAGCAAAATATTCGCCACTGACTCCCTCCTCGGGGTATGTATGTGACCGATTAGCAGACATCTGCTCAGAGCTTCTACCACCCGCTTTCCCCTCTCACTCTCCCTCCACATTCAACATCTCATCAGCCACAACACACAGTCCATTCCCAAAGCAACTTGGGTTTGTTTCATCGGAGGGAACAAAGTTGATGCATTGCATACAAAAGAAAACTTACTTCTAGAATCGATAAGAAAATTACCGCTAGTGCCAAATCCCACATTTATATCCAAGCCTCGAGACTTTTTTTTTGTCATCGGAAACGCACGAACTTAGACCAGTTTAATGAATTTCGGGTTAAAGCCAGTCCAGCAGGGACCAGGCTGGTTATTGATTGCAGCTTTCTAAAGCCTGCAGCTCATACATTTAATAACCAGCCTTGATCCCGTGTAGCAGTGGTGCCTTTTCCTCCTCCTCGCCTCACCACTGTAATTGACGCGATTTCACACCAACTCCCTCGGGACTCGCATTAAGCTCAGTCTTCACATTCATTTCGCTCGGCGCTGAACTCCATCTCACCATCTCTCTGCAACTGTACTGCCCCTCCCGAGCAAACGGCAACGAGTCCTCTCTCTCTCTCTCTCTCTTACCAATATTAAAGCTAATTGACAATCTTTCTTTTCACTCCTCATTAATCAAACTTAAAGGAGCCCAAACCTGCCACAGTTATTGATCGCAAAGCAATACGAGAGCAGACAGAGCGCCTCGACTCCGTATGCTATTCATTTCCTTGTTACAATCCGACTAACATGCTCGGTTGGTGAGACTGTAATGTTATTCCAATGGACCGTGTACGAGTACCATCGAGACAAATTACAGACATGAATAAAATATGCTGTTGATAAACACGGAGCAAGATACTACCACACGCGAGGATATCCCCATACGTACTGCATCACATTTGCAAGGAATATTGTAACAGTTTATCCAACAGCAACAACTAGGTTAGGGGGGATTGTGCATCCCTCCGTCGCTGGGTCGCTTACCTCTTCCTCTCTGCTCTCCATCAGCTCCCTTGCACTTGCCTGCGCCCCCAGCTCCCATCTGTTCGCATTTCATTCACACTTTTGTTTCTGCACTCCCTACTCCCAAGTCGCTTTCTCGTCCCCCCACTCCCCCAACCCTCGATCCCTTCAGTCTTCCCCTCTCCCACACACCCTCCCTCTCTGTCTCTCCCTCTCTCATTTCTTTTCAATTCCTCACGCTGCGCCGGGGGGGTGGGGGGGGGAGGTCGGGGTCGGGGTGGTGGAGGATGGGGGGGGGGGGGGGGGAATAAGACTGAGAGATATAGCATCAAAGAGGCACCAGCCGAGTGGGACACCCGGAATCCGGCTCACATCACTCCCTGTTAACTGAGGTCGTCACATGGAGGCAACTCTCCATTGTGGAAACAGTAACTTTTTTTTGGGGGGGGGGGGGGGGGGGGGGGGGGAGGAAAGAAAAGCAAAAGCGAAGAGGTAAATAATTCGAAGCACATACAATATAACAAGAAAACCACCCCCCCAAAAAAGCAGTAGCCACAAAGGCATGTGAAAGGGGAAAATTAAATGAAACTGAATGACAGTTGCCTACCTGAGTCCTGGGTACTTGACTCCAGTCTGTGAACAGCAGACACTGCAATGCATTATGATCCCGTACACAACTATGAATGCTATTGTCGCCTTGTTAGACATTCTTATTCTGCAAAAAAAAATATGAAAAGTTTAAAACAAAATTAAAAAAAAGAAAAAAAAAAGAAAAATTGCGGTTTATTCTCTCAAGGATGAAACCAGCCCGAGTCAATGAGCACCTCCGCTGGGTTTGAGAGAAACTACAATTTAGAGGTTGATGTCTGATGTACTCTTAAAAAGAAAACACAGTCTCTCTCTCTCTCTCTCTCTCTCTCTTTCTCTCTCCCTCTCTATTTATCTCCTGGTGTGGTAAGTGAGACACCTACCACCCGGATTGTGGAAACATAACTTTGTTGGCCATCCACACACCTACCTATTGCAGTTTGGCTGAGTGTTGTGCACGATCTGGTCCACGTTTACTTCTGATCCTGATAAAATCTTCCTTCCTCACGGCAATTCACTGAGGCGTCGCTGAGGTTCTGTTGGTGCCGTGCAACTTGCCAGCCCCCCACACGAGTATATATATGCAATTATCAGAAATCTTCGCAAACAGTGTTTGAAATACACATAGCAACAGATGTCTTTGTAAACATTTGTCTACATCTTAGCTTTTTTATGGACTATTGTTTGTTGTACTCTTGCACCCGGATTTTTATTCATGAATCAGACTGCTTCCCTTCTTTTCAGAGTCGGTGCAAGTCACGTTAAGACCATGTATCACCAATAGACGTCATCAGCTTGCCATATTCCTCCAGGAATATAACACTCTTTCTTCCTCTTAGCTGATCTCGCCAAAGTCATAACCCACTCATAAATACTCAGACCAAATTAAAATCGCTCCTACGCTGGTTATTGTGCTAATATTTGTCAACCTGATTTCAAGGGTCTCAAGTCAGGAAGGGCAATAAGCTAAACGTGACATCATAAAACTAAACAACTTAAAGGTAAATAAATATTGCAAACCGGAATAGGGTTCAATCGAAATTTGTTAATGACGATGTAAAGTTTGGGAAATATAGCTGGCATGCATTGATCAGTATTGATGAGCAGGATTACCGGAAACATTGAGCTGTCCATAGTGACAGTGCTGAAACTATTAAAGTGTCATCATCATGATACAGCATTAAAGGCACCGACGACAAAGAACGTCAAATAGTTTCAATTTATTTCCCTGAATGCAATCTTTTTGAACCAACTCAGGGAGGGCTAATATTGTTAACAACGCACCGTCTGCCCTTCAGCAAAGCTTGTCTTTCATTAAAGTATCCCCAGTGTTTTTTTTTCTGCTATAGTATTTAATTCCACACTCATTTCAATGAAGCACCATCGCGTTTCCCCTTGTAAAAGGGGAAAAGTTGGTGATATCTTTGTGCGTTGTAATGTTTCAAGCATTACAGTACCCCCAAAATGATCTTGCAAGAATTATCATTTAAATAAAACAATTCTGCCTTTCTTTATTCTCTACTTGCTTGCTGACCTATAATTGTCACCTATAGTTCATCCTTTAAAATATACTGATCGTTCTTTAAACGAGTTATATTCCAAAGACCTGTTGAAGCTGTCCAAGGCGTACTCATGCACTACATTTCTCCAGGTGATAATATTATAACATTTTAACTTATAGCTTCTGAATAGCTGGTCTTTTTTGTGAATGATTACATAAGCAATAGACTGAATTAAACCGACGGGATACCTGCATATTCTAAGGTGTTGAATCCGAATGCAAACAAGGGACTAACTTGAGAACCACATCACATATCTCGGCCTAAATATTCCCTATTCTCAGCCTACTGAAAGCTTCTAAGAGTTCCTCGCTTATTCTTTAAAGCTGATTTTCCACACAGGCTTCAAACCAGTGAAAATACAGAAAGTCATCTGAAGACTATCTCTACTGTACACTTGGAATGAGATATACAGGTTCTGGTTCTGTATGTAATTACGTAATATGATTTAAATCCTAACAAATCACTTTTTAATTCAAATTCTTTGGGAAATGGCTGGATCCTACATGTCCAACCAAAGGTGACCATGGCGTTTAATTGCCCCCATTAACTTGAAGTCAAATCACTCCTAACAGTTAAGTGTGCGTTTGTGTGTGTGTGGGAGGCATTAAATTGGGCTAAACTGTTAACTTTGTTCATATTTCTTTATTTTCATGGGCTTAACGTTACATTATAACCCGTTGAATCATATATATTATAAAGCATTACCACGTTTCCAACCTGGATGTGAAATGTAATTGCCACAGGCAGCTGTAAAAAGTATGATATTCGCCTGCTCTTTTTCAAATCATTAAAACGTCAAGCATGCATTCTTGTTCCCAACGTCATATCAAAGAGTGTATCCATGTCCAATTATTCCAGTGTAATCTTTCACCATTTTGTCACACCATCTGAATTTTGATAAACCCCTTTAATGCATTTAATGTACGTAACCAAACTCTTGAGAGTTAAAGAAAAATCACTTAGCTATTTCCTGTACAGATCCCTAAAGCAATTATAATGTGATTAATTTTAAATTTGCAACAGAATTCTCATTCTCACTTCTCGAGAGCCTGAAAATACAACAGCGGTTTTAGGGCTCCCCCGTGTGTTCAATGAAAGATTTTCTGAATGCAGTTGCATCGTTGGTACACGATTAGTCATTCGTGTAAGTCTCATAAGTAATACTGGCTTGTTGTAGTGTAATACCCAACTATACTCCTGTTTAATGTGCATTGCATTTCTTGAAGCAGCTTCTTGTCTGTAGCTTCAACTCATCGGTGCAGTTTGGTTCAGCAAGTTATTGAGAGACGTTTGTCTCCAATTTATGTTGGCAAATGTTTGTGAGTCTTTCTTAGCCTACATTTAATTAATTTGCAACAAAACCTTCTTTTCTTGAGAATTAGCCACCCAGTTGTGTTGCATTGTTGTCAAATCAACCAGTACTTTTTTGTGAAGGTCAGATTGGCACTGAACTTCGACCTACACAATGTCCTCACTGGCCATGCATCTGTAAGACAACTCCTGATTGGAATACTGTAAAAGCAAATCCACCCACTTGCAGCAGCTGAGACTCAGATCTTTTTAACAAGGGTTTCATTTTAGTTGTATTTTTTAATAAGCACCAAGTAACAAGACTTGTTCTTCACTTTCATACAAGCTGTGTATCAGCTTGGCTCAGTTGGTAGCACAGGTGTGGGTATAGCCCCATGTTGAGACTTGAGCTGGTAGTTTAGGCTGACACTTTTCATGTGCAGTAGTGTGGAAGTACTGCATTGTTGAAGGAACAGTCTGTTGGATGAGACATTAAAACATAAGACATTAGGTCCCTCTTTTGTTAAAGATTTCCAGACACTGTTCAAAAAGAGAAGGGAGTTTCTCCTGGTGTGCTGTTTGACAATCCTCCAGATAATTGATCATTTACCTCATGCCTTTTTTTGGCAATCTTGCTGGTGCTAATGGTTGCCACATTTGTCTACAAACTACATTTGACAGCAATTACCTGTGAAGTGCTTTGAGACACATTCATATGATAAGGTGTTATAGCAATGCAAATTCTGTCTTGGACTCTCATTCACGGCTTTTCCTCACCTCGGTAACATTGTCTGCCCCTGCTATTACTTCGTCCCTCCCCGCCCCAGATGCTGAGACTTTCAACCACTCACCTTTCACCATATCCAGGTTTCATAGAATCATAGAATTATACAGCACAGAAGGAGGCCACTTGGCTCAATGTATCTGTGCTGGCTCTTTGAAAAGAGTTATCCAAATCAATCCCACTCCTCCACTCTCTCCCCATAGCCAGCAAACTTGTTCTCCCCAGATAATTATCTAATAGGTTGGTTATTCCTAGTCTCCCTTCCGCACTCTCTAGCTCCTACATATATAAACGACAAACCATTTGGAACTCTGAAGCTTATGTCCTTTCCCACATCAGGCTCCACAAGGCAATCACCCCAGTCTTGACTGGACCCCAGTGGATCAAATTCAAGATACTCCTTCTGCCTCCATGGTTTCGCCATACCCAGCTCTGCTGTTCTAACACAGAAGGATTGAAAACTTTCCATGAATATGGTGCCTGTTCAAACAAATGCTCTACAGTTGTTTAAAATAAGGAGTTAAAACCAGAAGCGTTGTTTTACACCTTAGAGAGCAAGTAAAGTGTTTAACCCTTCTGTGTTTGATTGAAGATATGGGAAACAAATGGCTTAAACTGCATGAAAATTGCAACATCTGCCTGTTCAGGTAGACGTTAAAGATCCCATTGCAATCTCCACTGGTCAATAAATTTACTTACAAGGGGAGACTCCCCTTCCTTGGATTCTGTGTTAGATTTTGGCAGATTTGTTAAAATATGTTTTGATAGAAATCCACTTAAATGCTCAAACAATGGGATGTAACTGTTAAAAACAGGGTTAAAAAAAATCAATAAACAATTTTTGCCATGTCAATAAGAGCCTCAAATGGAAATAATGCTTTGGCCCATTTGATTTCATCCTTCAAGAATGACAACACTACTGTATTCCAATTATAGCATCAAGGTCTTTCTTAAATTAGTTCAGTCATTTCAGTTTAATGGGAAACTAGTAATCCCTTTACATTGACCGTTTCTGTTTAAAATTAGATTTATAGTAAATCTATGCTAAGTGTGTTTAAGAAGGCCATTGAGGCTCCATCTTGTCACCTGTCTTGTTCAGTAATGCAATGGATTATATCATGAGTGAAGCATCAACAACAATTTACATTAACAAAGCACCTTTCACATTGAGAGGATACCTCAAAGCACTTCACATAGCTGACATATGGGGGTGGGGCACTGGAGAGGAAAGGAGAAGGGAAAGATGGCTGAAACCACAGTCCAAGAGAAAGGTGTTAAATGCAGAAAGAGAGGGGACAAGATGGAGGGATTCTAGGATGGAGTTCCAGATAGCAGGGGCAGATGGCTGAATACTCGCCCAATAATAGTGAGGTAGATTAGGCAGGGACGTTAAGCAGCTTGCTGAGCAGAGGGAGTGAACACGAGTAAAACCATAGAGGTATTTGAAAGTGAGGATGAGAATCTTGTATTTGATCCATTGGAGTTGGGCATCAAAGAACCCAAGCACAGATGGAGTGATGGGTGCTCATGTAGGTAGCCTGGTATGGGAGAGGACATGGGCTTGTGAATGTACCTGGAACTGCATGTCATGGGCATGCATTCACAAAATCTGTGAAGCCAGATCACAACATTGGATCTCCTGTTTGAAAGATCACAGCTCTTGACTGTCAGTTTGTCTTTTTTAACAGTTGCATCCCATTGTTTGGGCATTTCTGACAAAATATATTTTAACAAACCTTCCAAAATCTAACACAGAACATAAGGAAAGGGATTCTCCACTTGTGAGTAAATGTCTCAACCATTGGAGATTGCCATGAGTTCCTTAACGTCAATCTTTTTTTAACAAAATTCAATAAAATGGTATCTCACTAATAATCAGTCAAAGACTGAGATCTGCAAACCAGAACCACTAAATGGACCTCAATATTGTTATTTTTTTCTAAATCTAGTTGCTGCCAGGAAGATAGCTAAGTTGCTGGATGCCAACCAAAGAAATTTGAGTTCAACATCTGCTTCCACTTACTAATGCTTGCCTTAGGCCACAGAAATTCCAACCTGCTGCCTAAAGTGACCCCTTGGTATAGAAGTCAGTGCTGCCTTGATGCACAA